AAATATAATTTATATTTTTTTAATATTTATTTATATGTAATTTATTTAAATTTTGATAATATATAATAAATATTTCATTTGTGTATTGTATATATTAAAATACTAAATATATTTTAGATTTATATTAAATAATTTATATTTTTATATAAAATTGTTTTAATTATCAATAATTTAAAAAATATATTGAAAAATAATTTAGAAATAACATACAAAGATAGATTAAAGCATGTAAAAGTTTAAAAAAGATATATAAAAATATCTATATTGAAAACAAATAAATTAAAAACACTCTAGTTAATAATAGTTCATAAAACACCTTTTTCTAATAAAATTATTATAATTTATACATAAAAAATTATAAATTATTTTAGATGATATTTATGATATTGTTAATAAAAACTAATAGGCTTATAATTTAATTAATTTTGCAGGTAATCATCAATACATTCTAAATCAATTCATTCAAAATATAGAAAAAAAAGTATATATATTTATGTTTCAATCACTTAACATGTTTATATTATTTTTGCCGACATGACCGAGTGGTAAACTAGAATTTGTAAGTCACTTTTTTTTCCAGTTCAATATTTTGATGACATAGCCTAAGAGTAATGGGAAGAAATTCATATAAAATAAATTTTATATTTGTGATAAATAAATTATATTGTGAGATGAGATTATTTTTAATTATTGATAATTTAAATGTTTATTAAAACTTAATTTAAAAATAATAAGAATATATTAAAATAGATAAGAGATTAAAAAAGTTCAAAAAAATATTTTCATTAAAAAAATATAATTAATCTCATTTAAAAAAAAATAGTTTTTAAAACACTTTCATTCAAGAAAATTATAAGTTATTTTAGATAATTTTTATATTCGTGTTTGTTTATAAAAGCTAATAAACTTATATTTTAATTAATTTTATAGGTCATCATTGATTTATTTTAAATAAATTTACACAAAATATAGAAGAAGAAAAAATAATATGTGCATGTATGGAGAAAGGAGAGATCAAATTATACTGATATAACAATTATAATTATCATATCATTCAATAACTTTTTATAAAAAGTGAATTTTATTAATCTAACTATTGAATTGAAAGTTAAATTTACTTAGATCGTGTTCATACCGGAAATCTGCTATAGAGCTGATCCGCCAGGTAAGATCGGTGAGCCTCCTTCACGGGTACGCTGGTGCTCCAAGATGGGGATGGTACCTGCAAAAGAGACACTGATGCTAAAGTTAGGGTTTGTATGAGTAATAGTCTCGTATATGTAATGCACGTACCTTGGTGTGATTTAGTGTTGCTTTGGGCCTTGGGCCTGAGACGAAGTGTAATATGATTAGACAACGGATCTCGTCTGGGGCGAGATCCTCGGGGATCAGTTATGATTCATGTAAGTACCGAGCTGACATCACGTGGTGTGCGTCCGAGGTCGGTTTGCGTTGCGGTGCCGAGCTCGGAGCTCGGTTACGCAGTACGGATAGTACACTAGCCCCCCGAGCTCCGAAGGCCGAGGAGTTAAGGCCGAGCTCGCTGGGGGGAGGTGACCTTTCGTGTACGTTTGCTCGTGTTGACATGCCTATTTTCTTTAGGGGCAAAAAGAGCAGTACACTAGTTTCTGAAGTGGCCATTTTGCTGACGATTCCAACAGATAATATCCTTGCGAGGTTTGGACTATCCTCGCTTCTTAGACTTTGATCTATCACACCTAGAACCTTGCCCCCTTTCAGGCCTTCTACCTTTACCTTCTATGCTCAATAAGAAACCTGCTAATTCTCTAGCATTTCTCCTACGAACATCCTCACCAAGGATTCAATCCCTAATTCCTTTGAAGGTCAATTTTGTAGCCCATATGTACTAGCAACTGCTGTGATAGTTCATGATCAACTATCAGGTAGCGAGGATAGCAACAATTAATAGGGCTTGCACTTCATCATCAAATTTAATATCCACTAATATTAATCTCGACAGTAAGGAATTAAATTCATTCACATGATCTGTAAGACTAGCACCTTCTCCCATCTTCGTATTAACTAGTTGACGAATAAGAAATACCTTGTTTGATGTTGATGGCTTCTCGTACATGTTTGATAATGCCTTTATCAAACCATATGTCGTCTTCTCATTGACAATGTTGTAGGCGACATTCTTCGCCATGTCAATCTGACGACCCCTAGAGCCTATCGATCTAGCAAATTCCAATCTTTTGTAAGATATTTGTTTCTAGTTTATTCACGGATAGAGGCTGGTACAACTTTTTCTGATACAAATAATCTTCAATCTGCATCTTCCAAAATTCAAAATCGCTCCCATCGAACTTGTCAATCTTCACTTTCCCGTCTTCTGCCATTGCTATCCAGCTTACCCCAGAGATTAACATTCTCTTGAGTCTTGGAATATATCTGACGTCCTTTAATATCCATACTATACTCGTAGAAGTTCTAAGATTTATATCTCTCATGTCTACGATGTGTAAAGCTTCATCATCTACTAGATGAACTTTGCCAAAATTTCCAGTTCTGAAATTTTTCATCAAGTCCTTATAAGGAGAAGTATGGAAAGATGCACCAGAATCCATGATCTAGGATTCAAACTTACTCTCAATGCAACAAATTAACGCATCATCAATATCTTCTTGTGTTGCATTCATTGTGTTGACATGCCTATTTTCTTTAGGGGCAAAAAGAGCAGTACACTAGTTTCTGAAGTGGCCATTTTGCTGACGATTCCAACAGATAATATCCTTGCGAGGTTTGGACTATCCTCGCTTCTTAGACTTTGATCTATCACACCTAGAACCTTGCCCCCTTTCAGGCCTTCTACCTTTACCTTCTATGCTCAATAAGAAACCTGCTAATTCTCTAGCATTTCTCCTACGAACATCCTCACCAAGGATTCAATCCCTAATTCCTTTGAAGGTCAATTTTGTAGCCCATATGTACTAGCAACTGCTGTGATAGTTCATGATCAACTATCAGGTAGCGAGGATAGCAACAATTAATAGGGCTTGCACTTCATCATCAAATTTAATATCCACTAATATTAATCTCGACAGTAAGGAATTAAATTCATTCACATGATCTGTAAGACTAGCACCTTCTCCCATCTTCGTATTAACTAGTTGACGAATAAGAAATACCTTGTTTGATGTTGATGGCTTCTCGTACATGTTTGATAATGCCTTTATCAAACCATATGTCGTCTTCTCATTGACAATGTTGTAGGCGACATTCTTCGCCATGTCAATCTGACGACCCCTAGAGCCTATCGATCTAGCAAATTCCAATCTTTTGTAAGATATTTGTTTCTAGTTTATTCACGGATAGAGGCTGGGACAACTTTTTCTGATACAAATAATCTTCAATCTGCATCTTCCAAAATTCAAAATCGCTCCCATCGAACTTGTCAATCTTCACTTTCCCGTCTTCTGCCATTTATAGGCAGGGAATGCTGCCGAGGAGGTGGTCCGGGGTGTCGTACCTGCTGCTTCGGCTGGTGGGGTGAGTCGTTGGCCCTTCTGTGGTATTTGTCGTTTTACCTTTGTGGTGACTTTTGTTCTTAGGAGAGTGTCCTTACTTTTTGCAGGCGGGGAACGACACCAGGGTATCTGTGTCTACTTCTGCCGAGGTCCGTAGGGAGGGGTCGAGCTCCAGACCCCCTACCCTTGGTCCGGTACCGAAGCTGAAGCGGCCGTACCTTGCGTATCGCTATGCGCAAGAGGGTGTGCCCATGCGGCTGGAGCATTTGAGTGCGTCGGAGGAGGTCGACTCCCTCTGGAGTTCCGCGGTGCTCCGGAGAAGTTTTTTCTGAAGGGGTCGTTGAGCACGGCT